AAACAAGAAATATAATATTAGGTGAGCTTGTTAGTTTTTAGTACTATTGCAATGTTTGATTTCCAGTCTGTAGGATATACTTATTAGGGCTGCTGATAGTCCTACATGTAAGATGTAGCACGTTTTTGTTTTAGTGCTACGTTTTACAACCTAAATAACTGCCTTGCATAGCATCAGAGATCTTGCTAGGATTTTAAAACTAGGTAAAAAAAACTTGGTAAAAATAGGAGTCCCACCAGCAAAAGTTGCAGTCCCACCAGCAAAAGTTGCAGTCCCCACTAAGTCAGAAATCATGTACTTTCTTACACTTGGCTATGGTCACATCCAAACTATCAGTTATAGCAACTTTAGCACAGTTATGAATCTCACTGAAATCTTCATCATTTTTTCTACAAAACACTTGTCTAAATTTGCAAACGGCATTTTGTCAAAGTCGCTTGATTTCAAGGTCACAGGTAATATTTATACAGCAACAACCAGAAATGAAATCAATAACAGTGATTGCCCTGTGCTTTGCCAATGTCGCAAATTGCAATTATGTTTTACATATTAGCGAAAAAATGTATCATCTGGCCACATTTTTTGCTACAACATTTTTGGCTGATAAAAAGGTATATACAGTCTTGATTTTGGAGTGAATAAATTCAAAGGCACCAAGACAGGAAGCCAAAAAATTGGATATAAAAATACACTGGAATCAATTGTTACATAAACAAATCCTTATTTCATATTGACAAACCATCCTAACAGTTACTTGTTATATCATAATCCACTCATGCTGATATCTGGCCTCGATGCTGCATACTGCAATATAATCAAACTAGACATGCAACTGACTAGCTACAATCGATCTCCTCTGAAGGCGGAAACATGAAACAACTACAGTCGACCACACTACAGAAATTTAAAGAAGAAAAAAAAAACAGCCAAAAAAACCAAAAAACCTCTGAAAAAATAGTTGTGCTTCAACTTCAATGAAATCTGACTACCTCTGAAGCACCAAAATATACTAAGGAAATTTGTTAACAATTATGTCAATGTTATACAATTCATTTGATGTTGCTGCAGCAATAACAAATGGGTATTTGTTTTGTCCTTCAAAGGGAGCAGTTAGCAGCACCTATAACACATGCACCTTCATCAAAGCAAGCTGGTTACCTTTGATCAAAGAAATCAGCAAGAAACTAAAATAATAACATTGCTTTAGCTTTCATAGCGATTAGAACATATTTATTTTGTTGCAAAAGTGTCCTCCTTGCAACAAAAATATGCATACAGAGGACTCGTGTATGGATGATTTTCTGCATCCCAAATAAAAAAATTTGCATCCAAATACGCGCAATTAAGCGTTTTCGAGATCTCTAATAGCATGTTCCAATGTCGTTGTCATCAGAACGAATAGTCAAAATTTCTGGAATATTGCACACACTTGTCAGCATATATCAACACTCTTCCACAAATTTATGTGTAACTAATATACTTACTGGTCTGTCTTTATCTTGGTGTTATCAAAATATGACACTAGCAAATGGATGCATTTTCATGTTCCATTGACATACATTTGAATTTGTTGCAATGCAACAGTAGTCACGGTATCCCTAAGTACATTCATGCAGGTGTGGAGGATATTTTTCTTGAACTAAACGACCGACCGTTGATTACAGTTCCAATAGGCCTAATATATTTTTTATTCGTTTCCTTAAAGAATAATATTTTAACCTAACCCGACTTCCGGCATTCACGGCTTTCATCACTTTTCAGCCAACTGAAATGTAGGCCAACGAAACTTGAAAACAGGTCCATTTTTTTGTGAGAATTGTAATTTATTAGAGAAAAGACATCAGGGTAAATAGAGTCAGACAAAAACATAACTTTACTTTGTATAATAGCCTCGTTTTGGTTGCCAGTTGTGAGTGATATTCATGAAAATTTTACTTTCGTTACACTGTTAATGGACATCAAAACACACTACACAGCGCCAAATTTCAGGCAGAAGGACCCATCACCCACCCAGAAGAAAAATATCAGGGTGATGGGGTTTACACTGTAGGACTGGGCTGTTGAGTACATTTACAAGCAAAAAACCTGACAGTGGAGCGAAGTTATATATATATATATATATATATATATATATATATATATATATATATATATATATATATATATATATATATAAGCTATCAATTAGCAATGCACGTTTCTTACTTCGTCTTCTCTATTTTTATTTAAATCCATCCTCCTTCTAAGGCTTCAACTGTTTACTTCTTGTTTAAACAGTGCTTCTTAATTACTTTTTGGGTTCACTTTCTAATATATATATTTTCACGAATGCTCTGGATCTTTCTTTTTATCATCTTTTGCCTATCGCGTTTTAATAAGTTTGAAATGTGTTTACAAGCTTCTTAATGATGCAGAATTTTGACTTAGAGACTAAATTGCAAAAGGAATCGGTACACAGTCGCGGAAAATATCCGGTTCCATTCACTGCATTATTATCACAAAGTAGTTCATTTGCATGTCTTATTCTTGCAGTCCACCTATTGCCAACATATTTAGAGATTTTGTTCAGTGATGTCACTGTTAATAATATTTGAATAACCTGCATGCAAAGATCATGTCATGAGGCTCACATAAAGGTAAAAATATCAAGAATAACAATATCCAGAGCACACAATCTCGTCCATTTCCTTATATATACAAATTTAAGTAACTGAAAAAATCCAGTTTATACCATATCCAGTTTTGATATTTTTGTTGTAATGTCCAAGTATAAAATCGTGCCGTGCACAATTTTAAAAAGACGTCTGCTTTAAAGTACAAGTAGCAGTAAAGTACAAGTAGCAATAAAGGTAAGTGTTGGTTCTGGCTCCAAGACCTCTTCCCAACCTCCAAAACAAATATAAATTACTCTTTCGGAGACCCTAAAAATCCGTACTCCAAAACGACTTTCCCAAAATTAAAGTTTTGGTTCTAGCTCAAATATAATCTAAGACCATAAACAAATATAAATTACATCTGTGAGCACCACCAGACTCCCAAACGACTAACTTCAACGTCTTTTAAACATTGTTTATACCTCATTACCAATTATCAGTGCTTCAACCTTTGATATTAGAAATACTTAATCATAACGACAATAGAGACAAAACTTTTCTTTGCGGATTGTTAAGAGAATACGTTTGTCAAAAAAATATACTTTTGACCGATATAGATCTATGCCAATTTTAGTATTTTTGCTGACTTATCAGATCATGAAAGCTTTTAAATCCCACTAATAACTTTTGGCTCAATTGTTCAAAAAATTGAAATACTCGCTGTCACCAGATCTGATAAGCGAAAGCTATAGCTTGTCACGAGTACCATTGAAACATATACCCGACATTTCACTATTAATTTCAACTGTCAACTATTTGCCATCCATCATTAGATATTTGACCTTGATATTGTAGCTATTTGTCACTGTCAAATTTTCAAACATTATTTGCATTATTCACACAAACTTACATACCTTAATCATCGAATATATGATATCGAGTATAGATCTATCATCGTGACAATAACCAAGTGCAAATGTATCTACTCCATTTTCATAATATCGTTTGTCATTAAGTTTTCTTGAAAACCACGTTTGATAATGACATCTGTTTCCAGTTTGTGATGATTCGTTCGAATAGCAATTGCTCTTATAAACCTAACATCGCCGTCAAGGGTGTACTTACAATCAACAAATAACATAATATTTTTAATTAAATCGCAAACAGACCTTTTGACTTTTTGTTATTTTATTATTGTCTTACAATACTGCGTATATTTTACTGCGCAATCCAATAAATTATTTGATGATGATCGACTTCATTACATCTTTTTTTCACCAAAAATCTTTTTTTTACCAATATTCTTTTATTTGTGTCGTCATGAAATTTACCTTCACGAGGGTAACCGGAAGGATCAAACAGATGCCGATTATCGTATATCTCCTGATAGACGTCCTCATATTTAATTTCATACACGAGCGAGTCTGTATCTGTAAACAATAGTGTACTAAAGAACTACTGATTTTTAACAAAATTGTAATAAAAATCATATGTGAGCCACTTTGCTAAATCTAATACAAAAGCTCCAACGTAAATCGGCTTGTTTAGTTTTAGATGTTTTCTTTGTATTCTTTAAATATTTTCATACTGATAAAATCATTGTTTTACACGTGTTTCTTCGATTGATATCATTAACTAGCTCCATATTTACACGTTTTCTAATATTTTTCATCGTCTTACCAAAAACGAAATTGTTCTTACGCTTACTGACTTTTTTCAAAATCGTTTTTAGCTGCAGCTCTTCTCGAAGTGTTTGAGTTAATATAGTCTTTCATCCAAGGTGACTGATCAAATTCTAGTTCACTATGAACTTTTCTCAAAACAAGACCAGCATCTACTGCTTGTTTTAAAACTTTGTAAAATAAAACATATTTTTTCTTATTAAGTAATTTTGGTACTAGTTTTTTACCAGAGAAATTTATCGTGGTAATTGTTATTATATGATTTAACTCAGCTGTTATCGACGTTCCTGTCCATCCGAAACTGGCACACTAATAGCATATTTACTAAAATAATATCTACAGCATTAAACAAGTTCTTCTTTGTAGCACCATCAGCGTCAACATTAAATTGAGCAAGATTTAACGCATCAACAAAATCTATCACCCAGATATCATCAACGGCATTTGTGACCTTACGTAGCGTAACCGTTTGTTTAAGTTTGTGATTGTGATTATGATTTTTTAAAGATAGCTATGACAATTTTTCAGTCATATCGCTAAGATGTGTGCAGTGTGGCAGTTGTTACTTAAGTCTATCACTGCGACATCATGCCACAGACATGTAACAAGCTGTCCTACCCAGTCATTTTATCCTGACATCAGGCCGACCAGTCCTAACACTAATATCTTAATGCCGAATGCCAAGCGAGGAAGCTGTTATTACCATTTTTGTAAGTCGTTGGTATGACTCGACCGGGGATTGCTCCCACGACCTTCCGCTTATGAGGCGGACGCTTTAATCACTAGGCCACCAGAGCGGTTGCACAAGGAAAGGGATCTTAAAATTGATTCATCGACCTTTTATTGCTTTTTCCGTTGCGTCAAATGCTGCCCATTACGCAGCTGTTAGTCATAACATACCAAGTACTGGCAAAATTTTGCTAGCTGTAACAGAAAGTGCTGGTCTAAATTATCCTCAATGTTTTGGCATTGCGTTTACTTGAGAAACAGATAGTTTAAGAACAAACGGTTTTCCTTTATCAAGTTTATTGATTTGTTGCTGCGTTAGAGTTAATTTAACCCAAGTCCTGCCGAGTTTTGTCGCTGGGGATATTATTAAACAAACAGATCGGCGTTTAGCAACAGCTGCTGATAATTTTTCAACTCTGGCCGGATGTTAGTCAATTGTGTACTTGGTTTGCATTTTTTATATCAAGGTGGTTAGATTGAACTTGTACAATCAATCTTACTTTAATGGCGTCGATTGTCCAACATCAATCACTGATAACTAGCGCATAGACGTTATACGTTCGGCTAGCAGTTCGTCAAGTGTCCAAGTGACCTCAGTATGATGAGTTGATCAGATAACTCTTTCGGAATGTTTTGATTTATCAATATAAAAGATAGGGTACAGCGATCGAAATTCTTTTAATGATATTTGAGATCCATTGTTCGCGTCCTGATATTTTTGCATTGCTTCCATTAGGTACATATATGGCCGGGATATGTCCTTGTTTCATCGTCAGCAAAACTGCATTCGATTGTACTTTCAGGCTATTGTGTGGAACTTATTCTAACAAATATTCGTCTAACATCAGGGTTATCAAATATGGAGTTGTTCATTTCTTGATAATTACGATGTAAATGTCGCTGAAATACAACAAACAAGTGTCAAGGTAGTTGTTCGCTATCTGTAGTTGTAACACGCCATATGTGATCAGTTGCATTATGAATTACTGTTTGATAAATTATGTTTTGATGGAAGTATATCTTTTTGTATAGGTGGTCAATAAAGATTCGAGCTCCATTGTTTAGGCTATAGAGGGGACAACCCGAGGCATCCACAATACTAATTTTGTAATATATGCATTATACAATCGTTTTGATCAGCTTGATTTAAATAATGTATTTTTATTCTTCGAAAAATTTTGTTATATTCACAGCAAAATCCAAAGATTGTATTTAACGGAAGTCTCTTCTTTATTTAGAGAGATTCTACGGTTAATGTTTTTCGTTTGACAATCCCTTATATTGCTGACGTCTTATTCTTGTGACCGCCAATCTTATTGAATCACCTATCGTAGCGGCATCATCATCATCAGAGGGATTGGCGATTAGATTTATGTTATCTTCACCAGGATTACCAGCACCAGTACGAAACTCGCTCGAAACAGCTGTTCCGAATGGGGTCTATTTAAACCACATCGTATTTGTGGTCACTGATCTAGGATAATGATAGCTAAACGAGACGATATTAAGTTTTGTATTCGCTATAGGCAAATGCATTGAAATATCTTTTACGGTTTGACTGGCCAGTTGATATCGTGCACTTTTAAACAAGCCGCAACATTTGCTGACAAGCGCAATTTCTGTACCAGCTGCAACATCACCACCTATCGCAGTTAATATATGACCACGCACTTTTAACACAGCCTTATGCGGCAGTGGAAAATGTCATCATCTCATGCTCATGTGTTAAAAGTTCTAACACCGGTCTTGTGATGTTTGTTTGAGTTTTAATCCAGATACTAGAAGTATTCAAATTATGTTATAGCGTCGTCAATATCGTATTCTTCAGCAAGATCGAAATTATTTTTAATAGACATTTATTTTATAACTGCTACACAAAATTAAAAAGTAGCAGAAGTCATTGGCTTTGTTTTCTTTATAAGTTTACATAGTATTTCTTCTCCACGCGGTGATGATAATTTTTTGTTGTAGCTATCATAGCTCGTTTTGTTTCTTCTGTTGACACAATAGATGATATTATTTCCAAATTTGAAGGTCCTCTGATCTTATCAGTGATCTTTTGTCCTACTGCAGTGCCCGCCGAAAAATCCGCACCTGTCGCAAAATCTTTATCTGCATCATTTGCAATTAGTGACACTTTACGTGCTATTCCTTGGATATTTTCTATAATTTTAGTAAATATATTAACAAAAATACCCATCTACGATTTTTCTTCTATAAATTCTTCGTGGTCTCATCTTTGTCTATAAAATATAGGCTCACAAAATTAACTTTGCTACAGTGCGTAAGTGTACGTGACAATTTTGAAGTTGAGATCTATTTGTTACCCCGATTGATCTGTTAACTGCATTGTTATACTTGTTATTTCAATTTCGAGACTAATCAGATAATAAAAAACCTGACGTGGACTAATTTGCATGAACGATCCTGGTGGAACTTCTGGAGAAAAACTATATATCATTTGTCATCTACTGCCCTTGGCTGAGTATGATTCAGATGCAGCAGAGCAATTTATTAGTAGTGTGTTAAAGTCAGTTATATTTACTGGCAATTCACCGTCTTATGTGGTAACTTGTGCAAAAGAAACATAATTTTCATGATGAAATCCCATCAGTGTTTTGATACATATTTGTGATATAAAATTTACTGTTATATTTCTCAATTTTATCCTGGCTCGTGACGTGTTATAATTCGGTACCAGTTCAAAATGGTCTGCAGCTCCCCCATTTTCCATTATTAACTCACATATTGTATTATTTAAATCAGCTGTATTGTATTCTCCTTGTGGAATTTTAAGTATTTTCCCTGAAGCTCATGGAACTGACAAAGTAAATTTAAACTCATTTTTTACTCTAGATTTCACGTTAGCCATAGAATTCCGCGCTGTGCAATAAATTAGTCCAATCTCATACTTTTTTCAGGATCAAGTTGTATTAGCGGATTGCAATAAACAGAAAAGTTTGCGCTGTTCCCTCTTGTCTGCGATGAATCCAATATAATGTTGTGACATATCAATATTTTAGATAAGATCGCTATGTAAAATGTAATACTCGGACGATGTCAGTAATCCGCTCGATCTAAGATTATCTAATATATTAATAATTGCATTAACGATCTCTGCGCTTTCATTACCAGCTTCATTTAATGATATCAACAACATAAATGAATCGACTATTTCTGTTTTTGATTTAAGCAATTTAACTCCAGATCGAATGGTTTCCTCTGGTAATGTTTTATCTTGTTCGTTTCATATTTATCAAACAGTCTTTTAAAATTGCAACTTTTATCATAACCTCCTGGTTTTTTTCGATATTGATGTGCTGTTATAAGTAAATTTCCAGCAATAATTCATTCTCTTATGTAATCATATGCTTTAATGTAATTACTTTCGTCTTTGAATTTTTTAATTCCGTCGTACGTAAGTGAGCCAATATCTATAATTTCCATATATGTTTCTGCTAAATCATTATATGTTTCTTCTGGCCAAGTTCGAATTTGGTCCATTTCTGTGATATTATGTTTTTCCTCTAATAAATTCGTTAAATTCTTCATCTAATATTTTAACACGTGCATTTTTACTATAAAAGTTTTTCAGTAGGAATTTCTGTTACAATATTTTTAGTCTTTATTTTTGTTTCTCAGCTAATTCCTTAGTTTGTTCTGACACATCTTCTATCATCTTTTTAACTCGGCTGGATTAACCTTCATTCATTTTATCGCTTGTTTTAGTGCAAGAGGATTTTTCATTAGCTTGTCAAACTCAAGTTGTCGTGCAATGGGATCGGCAATGTGTCTGACAGGTTCGTTTACAATGTTTATGGTTTCTTCTTTAGATTTTTATCCAAGTAATCCTAACAAACCTTTTTCTTGTAATTTTTTATGCTCGTCTGCAGATAATTCTGGTTGCTTGCCAAGTACTGCCTCAGCAACATGTATGAAAAGTTTAGCAGTTTATTCCACGCTGAGCTTCTTCCACTTTTTTTTCTTTAAAGTTGCTCGAGTTTCAATAAATCTTTTTAGTAATTTGATTCTTTTTTATGCTTATCCACTATTTTCCATACGCTTCAGAAAGCTAGCCTATACAAATGTGTCAAAACAACAAAACATTCCAGCTGGATCACGCGCTAGCATAGCAAATAAAAAGAAATTGTATTTGTCTTTGATTGCTTTATGATATAATTCAATAAATTTATCTTTCGTTATATTACCGCATTCTTCGTTTGTAATATTTATAACACCAACATTATTCAGTCCGGTAAGTAATATAAAATAACCTGTATTTCGCCTGATAAAGCTATCGACATTGAAAAACTTTGGACGAGATAAAATAATTACACATTTTATTACGCAATAATGCAAATACTGATCTTGTTCATCTCCTCATTGTTTAGTGGAATATTGTCAAATACAATTTTTTATGCTTTGATGAATCAAGTTGGTTAATTGGAATAAGTTCTTCTGGTTGTTTTATTAAAATATATAATTGCCATAGTCAAGTTCATCACTAAGTTTATTGTTAATCATTTTTCAATAATTCGTATTTTTCCTGTTGTGGGTTAATAGTGTGAATATATACCTTCTCATAGTTGAAGTTATTGTTCAGCATAAGATTTAATAATAAATTTGTTTTACTTGATTCTGTGCGACCAATAATAAGATAGCTAAAACTTGGAAGCTCGTTATTATGTCTATCATTAATGAATCATTTGGTATCATATGATAATATCTTCGCCATTAGTCTTATATAATTGTATGTATTATAAATATTGACTAATGATGACATTTTATGTTACATTAATTAAATAACGAACTGCCATATATAATTGAAACATTATTAATAGGTTCATCAGCTGGAGCTTAGCAAGGTGACTTGTCTAAATACGCAACTCTTGATCAGCTCAGAAATGAAATCAATAATTTATTAAATGTCACAAAAGTATGGATCAAAAAGAAGTTTTTTTTTAGGACAAACAAGTACGATTAAAGACATGTAATGTACAACTGTCAGATGTAATTGTAAGAGTTCCTACCACGTTTATTAATAATATCGTTCCTTTCACTGAACAAGG